TGCCTGTCACTGTTGTAGATGTTGCATTTATTGTGTTAGGTTTTCCTTCATTTGTTCCTAACTAGGCTTTGTTTTTATTTGGCACGAGGTAATATTAATTGCAAATGGAATCTCAGGAAATGTGTGGACCTGGACTTTCTTTTTTTTTACTGGAGGAAATCCGTTTTGTTGAAATTGCTATTTATATTTTTCAGCTGGACTTGCATCTGTCTAATATGTCAGATTGTTGCTAAATTGCATTGAAGAGCAAGAGCCAGGCAAGGGTCAGGGTCTTTATTTGTAAAAATCTGCTCTCTTGGAATAAGAGAACTGGCATTAAGATGACCACGTTCATTGTGGAGATGTGCTAACACAGAACAGGCTTTGTTTCTGACACCAATTCTGAAAGAGGATCTCTGAAACCAGCAGGTAGCTCCCCTGTAACAGGTTGTCAGTAGTGTGATCCTGACTTCCTTTCAAATTTTAGTTGTGTAATGCATTAACAAGGTTGTTTCATAATAAAAGTATTCAGAGGGACAGAAAGTTTTGTTAATAATGGGATTGCACAATTCTATTCCCTATAGCTAGGTAGCTCGTTTCTTTGTATAGTGGGTTATTGCATTACAAATATCCTTTCACTGAGTTGAATACTGTTGGGGAAAATAAGTCATTTTGTAGCATTTGGAGAAATCCAATACAGCAGTATTCCCTCTTGGTAGGGTATTTGATTAAAACTGAATATTGTCTCGGTCCATGTGTTCAGTGAATTTTTGATCTTGAACAAGAGGTTGTATAAAATGCCACTGCCTATCCTTTTAGTTTAATTCTGTTGACAAAAACCTGGGTATTCTCTTTTCTTCACAGCTAGAGAGACAACTGCATGAGGATGAAGAATTTGCCAGAACTCTGGCCATGTTGGATGAAACACCAAAGAAGAAAAAGGTGGGTTATTTTTATAAACTTTGTTTTAAAAATGAAAATATTTTTAAAACTAAAATGTTTTTGTGACTCTGGATTGCATTGTATTTTTTTCTTTTTAAAAAAAACCCCACTACATCTTTTGACCATGTATGTATTTTATGGAGATCCATGGGGAGGCATTCTTGAAAGAAACATTAGGTTGTGGGATTGAAAAGGTCATGCCCACTTTTTCCTTCCTCTTGGCTTGCTCTTCCCTCACTCAGTAAGCACCGTCCTCTCTTAGTATCAGCCAGATGTGTTGCTTTTTATCCTTGTAGTTGAGTGGGTTGTCTGCTTCCTTTGAAACTGTTACTGTGTTCTGTTGGTGGCTAGTGAGTGCATCAGAACAAATCTCCTTACTAGCCCCTTCACTGGTAGAGTTCTTGGCCTATGTCATAATTGTAGCTTTTCACATTGCTGTCTAGCATGCTAATGCTGAGACTTATCCCAAGATTAAAGAATAAATATGATCTTACTTTGTATTGTCTGACAAAATATGATTTTAATAAATAGTGCTTTACTGGAAAAGAAAATTGGACAACTAGCCGTTCATTGCTGCCCTCTGGATCTCTTCAGAATTAGAAATCTATCCAGTGTAACTCATCATTGAGTTGTCTTCTTTTATATTTGCTTGAATGCTGCCTTGTAGTTGTGGGGGATCCCTTTGGTGTAATTTTACTGTTAAGAGGATATCAAAACTTACAAGACAGAGCCTAAGGCTGTGTCTACACTTAAACCACTGCAATGGTATAGCTGCATCTGTGCTGCTGTAGCGTTTCAGTACAGACCCTCGCTACAGTGATAGGAGCGGTTCTCTCGTCATTATGGTAAATTTGTCTCTCCAAAGAGGGAATTCTTCCATTGACCTAGTGCTGTCTACAGGGTGTTAGATCAACTCAACTACTTTGCTCAGGGCCTTGGATTTTTTACACCTCCAAGTGACGCAGCTGCCTTACGCTAACTTTTTAGCGTAGACCTGGCCTTAGTTTTGAAACTGATTTTGTGAAGTAGCAGTTTTGCAGTTTGTGGTTGATTGAGATTCAAAATGCAGAACAAGGTTAAAATTTAAGATTTAAAATAATGAAGACCGAAGAGGTTCATGTGGGGGAAAAAAATCAGATTAAATCGAAAAGTTATATTGCTGCTTTGAATAATGTGTTCTATAGGCAATTATGTAGCAAAATCTTATCAATATAGAAATGGAATCTTACAACAGAGGACTGAATGGCTTAGGTTCTGTGCATCCTCTTACCAGTTTCCTGTCACCATGTAGGTCCCCACTTTAAATTCAGCCCAGATTGGTAGACTGTTTGGCGATTTAGTACTTGAGGTGAAATTGAGTTGCTGATCTAAAGTGAGGGTCCACATCACAAAACCACCACCTTATTTGTTACTGACTAGCATGAGTGTTGGCAATCTCAACAGAGAAGCCAAGGATTGATTGGACATAGAATATGAAATTGTCTCTCACCCCTATAGGTGTGGGCCCTCTGCTTTAGTGTACCTGGTAAGTGAATGTCTGGCATTGCCCACCAGTGTTAAAACGTACACAAAAATAGGATTGTAAAATCTGTTATGATTTTCTGCTTTCTTGATTTATTTTGAAACAAATCACACACTCAAACTTAAAATAGACCAGATGTGAATCGGAAAGAGAACACCTACCCATGCTTTACAGTACATGGGATTATTGCCTTTAAGCTAGTTAGCAGTAATTATCTTTGAAGTTAATAAATGAAAGCATAAAGTCCTATTTCTCTAAGCTTCCCAAATGAACTGAACTAGGGCCAAATTTTCTCAGCAGAGGTTCTAGGTATATGCTCCTATTGGCATAAGGGGGAGTTGGGTGCATGCATGAGGGCAGAATTTGACCCTAAAAAGCTCCCCTGCTTAGCTATCCTTTCCGAAAGTGTATGTAATAAATCCTGTTCTAACCAGTGGCGGGACTAACCTTTTAATCAGTGCCATTCAGACCTCAAACACGGCTTTCAGAAATGGAGAGAGATGTTTTGAACCTGCAGAAGTCTCAGTTAACTACTGTTTAGAGCATGTAAATTTCTTACTCTGTTATTTTGTTCATGTTTTGTTTAGGCTCGAAAAGATCTGGAAGAGAAGCTAACCATTTCGACAACCAAGACCAGTTCAAACGGAACAGAAAAACATAAACCGTCTCAAAAAGGTAATGCTAGCATACAGAAAAACCTTAGCACTCACTAATCTATAATATGAAGGTTCTCCTGTTAACACACATTTTCCCCCCTCCCCTTTTTTTTTTTCCGGGGGAAACATCAAACTCAACAGATGACACAAGGAATTATAGTGCGAAGGAACAAACTAAATCTGAAAGTACAAGACCATCTTGTCCACACCCAGAAACTTCTGTTGGTAAAGCTGTACACTCAGAGAATAAGACCTTGCCTTTGAAACCTAGCTCTAAGCTGGTGGCTCTGAAACAAAAAGAAGAGAGCAGTAAAAAGGAGAGAGAGACTCCCAGTGCAGTGACCAAAGAAAAAATCATTTCAGGAAAGGAAGAGAAGAGGACGCCAAAGAAACAGAAAGTTTCTCCCCAAAAGCCTGAGGTAGGGACCTTTCATGAGGAGTTCACTAGGGCTTGGTGCTGACACAAGGATATGAAGAGTTTGTTTTTTCTTTTTACCATCCTCCTCATCTAACTATTGTTGCTGGGCAATATGTTTGCCTTTGAGTTTCCTGGAGAACTTCTAATTTCAGGAAGTCCAATTTCTAGCGAGGTTTTAAGTCTCCAATAAGTGTGTCAAAAACAAGAAAAAAATTAGCTAGAGGAATATTGATAAAATGAGGCTAGGAATTAACAGATCTAATTAACAAGCACTTCTTAAATGGCATACAAACACAGAAAGATCGATTAAAAAAGTTCTGTGGGAAGAAAACACTTGTCTGAATAGCTACATAATGCAGAAATTGGGGAGGAGGTGGAGTTGGTGGTGAGTGAGGGCTTTCTTGGTGACCAAAGAGATCTCAGAGGTTGATGGCTTTTTGAATCTTTGGTATGGAAATATATTAACAGAAAACAACTAATGTTAATTTCTTTATCTCCTAGACACCTAGACTTTATTTGTTATGTGCTTGGTGCTATACATGGTACAGATCTGAAGATTGTTCTTATTGCATTCTCGATGACAGGATGCACTAGGTGACACAGGAGGAAGTTCATTTAGAATACATGTTAATAAATATATAAGAAATGCAGACTTAAGCACAGCATAGTCAGCTTTTCAACAATTCCCACCTTTCTTGTTTTTAATCCTAGACACTGAAATGTCAGAATCTGCTAATCTTAAATTACCAGTAGTTAAATGTTGATTTGAGATATGATTCTGAAGATCATTTCCTACCTCCCCACCCCCAGCAGCTGAAAATCTATCTATCTCTAAAGTTTTAAATGCGTACCCAAAATCATCCCCTGTGTTTGTGCAGAGAAATAGACAATATTGAATTTACGAGGAGAAAGGCCAGGATTCTCTAATAGGTCTCTTTTAACTTTTTAGTTTTTTTATGAATAAAAGGCTGACGCATCTGAAGCTTAGCAAAATATATTGGTTGTGTGTATCAATTTAGGGCATGTCTACACATGAAAAATATTCTGGATTACGCTAGGGTTTGAGTTTTAAGTGGATAGTTATTAGGGAATAACTCCATGTCTGGAGGAGCCCTAACATAAACAGTGAATTACTTTTCACACATTTAAAGAGGTGTGTTGCCGTACTGTAGAGATATTTTCCTTTTGTAAAGACCAGTGTTGCTGCTAGTTACATGTCAGCATTTAAAAATGAGCCCTAGGATTTGCTTCTCCTTTTACGCACAAAAAGCTATTTGGAAACTTTAAAGAAAGTAAAGCCTGAGTTTGATTGTTTCCTTGCTTATAGTAAATTTCTTCTTTCAAAGTCTATCAGTCCTGAGGACTCTGAAAAGAAACGAGTCAACTACCAGGCATATCGAAGCTTCCTTAATCGAGAGGGTCCAAAAGCACTAGGTTCCAAAGAGATACCGCAAGTAAGTCCCAGTTTGGCTTTAGAAGAATTACAGCATTTTGTGTGTGTAACATTAACGTATCAAGGTCCTCCAGATATAAATTACCTAAGGCAAGACCCAATTAAGAAATATTTTGACAATAGATTTCTAATCTGTAAAATATGCACTAGAAACTTCAATTTTTGTAGTGTTGAAAAATGCTTGTGAAAATGGCTTGTTGGGTTCTACAATTCTCTCTCATTGTTGAGCTCATTTCCAGGACTGCAGGATTTTGGAGCGAGCCAATTGTTTTGAGCCAAGAAAAACAGACCTACAAAAAAAAAAAAATTAAAGTCCTTACAAAATAAAAGCCATACCTTTTTATGTAAAAATAAACCGCACAAACTAAGAAATCTAAATGTCACAGCTTGGAAACCCTTAGGATAATATTTGATTTATATATTAATTTTTGATGTTTATAGTGGAAAACGATTGCCCTGCTGTTCGAAGAAAGTAACTGCCAGTGGTTTGCAGTGCTTCAAGCACAGGATGTTGATGCCTATAGCAATAGAATTTCCCCACTCAGTTTTAGCTAAAAGTGCCAAGCAGTTCTGACTCTGATTAGCCATTTGATTGTTTATGGCTGCTTACAGTCTCGGCTAACTAAACAGTACTTGACAAACCAAGGTATTGAAGAAATAATTTTTGTAACGGGAAGACATTTTGTTGTAAGTGCATCAAGCGATACTGCTTAATATTTGATTCTTAGGGAGCTGAAAACTGCTTGGAGGGCCTGACGTTCGTAATTACAGGAGTCCTGGAGTCTATAGAACGAGATGAGGCCAAGTCTTTAATTGAGCGTTATGGAGGAAAAGTGACTGGTAATGTGAGCAAGAAGACAAACTATCTCATTATGGGACGTGACTGTGGCCAGTCTAAATGTGAGAAGGTAAGTGCTACTATGCATGATCCAAGAACGAAATACACATGTTAATACACTCATAGACTTTAAGGCCAGAAGGGACCATCATGATCATCTAGTCTGACCTTCTGCACATTGCAGGCCACAGAACCTTGCCCATCTACTCCTTTAATAAACCTATAACTTCTAGCTGAGTTACTGAAGTCCTCAAATCATGATCTAAAGACTTCAAGTTACAAATAATTCATCATTTACACTTTAAATGATTTAAAACCTGTTTAAACCTGCAAGTGACCTGTGCCCCATGCTCCAGAGGAAGGTGAAAATCCCCGGGTCTCTGTCAATCTGACCTGGGGGAAAATTTCTTCTCAACCTCAGATATGGTGATCAGTTGGACCCTGAGCATTTTAGCAATACCCAACAACCAGACACCACCTGGGAAAGAATGCTCTGTAGTAACTCAGCCCATCCCATCTAGTGTCCCATCATTGGCCATTGGGGATATTTGCTGCTAGCAGTTGCAGATCAGCTACATGCCATTGTAGGCGGTCTAATCATACCATCCTCTCCATAAATGTATCAAGTTAAGTCTTGAGGCCAGTTAGGTTTTTGCCCCCACCGCTTCCCTTGGAAGGCAGTTTCAGAACTTCACTCCTCTGATGGTTAGAAACCTTTGTCTAATTTCAAGCCTAAACTTGTTGATGGCGAGCTTATATCCAGCTGTTCTTGTGTCAACATTGGTGCTTAACTTTAAGTAACTTTTCTCCCTTCCAAAACATTGTACCCATATGTAAATTTATCATCATTTACATTTCCTTTCCAAAACCAGAGAATTCTCCCCAAAATGCATATTTTAAGGGGGGGAAAAATGAAATACTAAGTAATTTTTCTAAAAGAAAAAATGGTGTTTATTAATAGATTTTCTTTGTACTAGTAATTTCAGATAGTGTCTCAGTTATGACTTAAAGGTAACACTGACTTCCTTATTTTTCTACCAGTACCGTCAATTTTTTACAGTAGTTTTGAGGGCTCATCCATACTCACATATGTACAGACAGTATATCTGATGTAGTGCACTCTCTTCTGTGTGTGAGACCAGGAATAGGCCCAGAGTTGACAGCGGTGCTAAATTACAGTGGTGCTTCTGTTAATTTACATAAAATAATATTAATACTGTGTTGTATGTACCTTTGAAGGCTTCAGACATGATTAAATATCTTTACAATACTGAAGACATTCAATGAGCAATAAGACATGAGTCTAGGATAGTTCTGATTAATGTGCACTGAAGGTGTGTGGTGAGACAAGAAATGAATCTGAAGGTGTAAATTAATCAGCCCCATCAGATTGTTCTCTGAAGTGTCTTATTGCTACTTGGAATGGATATTGAAAAGTTAATTTCTAGGAAAATTTAAAATTAAAAAAACATTCTAGGTATGTAAATTAGTTTCAGGTAATTTTTTTCAAATGTCACCATTCTATAATCGGAGTATAAATCATTTAAATATCTTACTGTAATATACAATGTTTTTGTTTTTATATTACTACTAGAAACAACCACACATACTTTACTCTCCCCCTAGTCTCATTTGTGTCAATTATAGGCTATATGTTTGGTATTAATTTTGTTTTTAAAACTGTAACACTAATGTGAGTAGACACTTATTATACAGCTTTTTGACATGGCTTGTGTTTCCAAACTTAATAATTACATACATAATTCACTTCTGTAAAGCAGTTTAAATGCAATTGATTGATTAATCTTTCTGGTCTAGGCATCAACATTAGGGACAAAAATTATTCATGAGGATGGCCTATTTGATCTGATTCGAACTATGCCAGGCAAAAAGTCCAAATATGAATTAGCAGCTGAAGCAGAGGTTTGTACAAAATAAACTTAATTTATTTCTTAAAGCACTGTCAGCTAATATGGTGCCTTTGTTTGTCTGCCCGTCCATCCGTCCCATCCTTTGGCAGTTTCAGACTGGCTTTATGTAGTCAGACATGTTTCCATCACTCTGACTTCTCTTTGGGAGGAAATGCAAGTTTTGTGGAAAAGATGACTTCCTTTTATTCACTTTTGCTTTGGTTTTATCAGTTTTTTTTTTAACCTATTTAATACACTCTCACACTCCCTCTAGTGGAGCTGCCTGTCTGAGGAATGAGTATATTCAGGGGAAATCAAATAAATTTAACTAATTGTTTATCCTTTAAAATGTAATAGCTCTAGCAAGTCTACACAATTTTACATTTGTTGCTGTCTAATTGAAGATGATTGATACTGTACGACATCAAGGCCATAATTCAAATCTGAGACCCTATTGCAAATTTAGGGTAATTAAGCGCAAATGGCATATGATAAATTTAGCATTTATGTAGTGCTGTTACATTGTCACACCTCTGTGCAAACATTAAGTAATCGTAATCTAAATAAACTAATGTTAATGAATGCTATACAATTTATTTTACGGTGTGTTTAAGCTCAGTCTACAATGACAAGGCAAACAGTATTCAGTTTTCTAGAAGTACTACCATGGCTTCCAAACTGAAAGTAGACACTCTCTTGCTATTTCTCATGTGACTAGCAGCTGAAATGTAATGTTTTTTATTTTTAATTTTATATCCGTCTAACGCTGAGACTCTTTTTTGTGTTCCTGTTGTAATCCAGTCATGGGCTTGCCATCCTCATACATACCTAAGTTTGGAACTGTGTGTGTTTCTTTGGAGGTATCACAGAGCTCCAAAATGTTTTTTTGATGGAAATTTGGGCTTTTGACTCAGCTACATTTTTCATGGAAAGTATCTGTTTTCCACAGGCAATTTTGACTTTTTGTTCAAAAACCAAAACATTTCAATTTTGAAATGCCACCATAGGAGTTGTAGTTTGCTGCCCTTTTCTCTTCCATGGGCTGCATTCCCCAGCGTCAAACTACATCTCCCACAAAGTGCCATGACCAGGGACTCCGTGATACACCGTAATGGCTCAACAATAAGGGAGACCATGGTGTATAGTAAGAGTTACAGTTCAGGTGCCTCATGGCCCACTCTGTGCAGTGGACTCCCTGGCCTGATGACAAGTCCCAGGAGGCACTGCAGTGTTATTTCCAAATTGAAGTTTTCATTTTTTTTGCTGAATATTTTAAAGTTTTCCTTGGAAAATTTCTGATGACCATGAGAAAATCATTTTCATAAAATTTTCTACTGAGGGGTGGGGAAAATTCCAGTTAGCTCTAGTTATATAAGCTGTAACCCTTCCAAAGGCTCTCTAGCTGTGTGTGCTACTGACCTGTTCTTGTTGGTTTTATTTTCCCTTTACACTTTCACTCTTCTGACTTTTAAGGCAAAGAAAGCAAAGTCAAAATGGGTCAAGACCCCACAGAAAATGGAGCCTGAAAAAAGAAAAATTAGCCCAGCTAAGAAAGAAACTGACCCTAAAAAAAGCAACTCCACTCCTGAAAAAGGAGGCACCTTCAGAGCTATAAAAAAAGAAACTACTGAAGCTCAGAAAGGTCTGGACTTCAAGCAGCAAACTATGGAGAAGAAGCATGCCCCAAAGACTGAAGAGAGTTGTGTTCCTGAGATAAGCAAAGGCAGAGCAGAGGGGTTGCTGTGGGTTGATAAATATAAGCCCACATCTCTTAAAACAGTAATTGGACAGCAAGGGGATCAAAGCTGTGCCAATAAGTTGTTACGATGGCTCCAAAACTGGCACAAGAATACTTCTGAGGAAAAACATGGTGACTATGCAATTAATATCTATTTTTCTGGCTGTTTCCAGGTTTCTCAATTTGTAGAACTTCGGGTGTTCACACTGCTCAGCTTCATGTAGACTCTTTTATAGAGTGCAAGCAACTGTAGAAGTCTCGAATCAGGTGTAAGTCCCAGAGTAGAAGCAATATTTTCAGCAAGTGTTGAGTCTGTTTTATCTTTGAAGTTGTAAAACAATCATTTTCAGTTCACCAGATTTACATTATACTGTTTGCACAGTTTTTTGTATTTTATTTGTTTGGATATTTACAAACTATACGGGAGGTCTAAACCTCAACATACATATAACAGACATCAATTCCCTTCCCCCACAGTCCTTAGAGTCCCCCACCACCATGACCGGCCCTAGCCAACACCCATTTCCTCATTAGTGGGGAAAAAAGGTGGGCCTTGCAGCATGCCCTGAAGGCTAATATGCTCTGGTGGCTGCTGTCCACATGGGGAAGAAGCGAGTTCCCAAGGTCTTGGCACTGACTAGCAAGTTGCTTTAGGGATAATCTGCAACTTTAAAGAAAAGACTCTGCAAGCTGGTCAGTGCAATCTATTGGTACTTAATGTGTATTCTGGACTAATTTTTTCCTGCCCTTTCATGAGGATATGTAAGAAACTGAAAAGGGCACAGTAAGTTTGCATATAATTTCACGGCAACACACAGTTGTTTTTTTAAATGAATCCAATATTAATGTTTCACAGCAACTTAAAGTGCTAAAACATTTTAGTGCCACAGGTACATTAATAATTGAAAACTATTAAAAGCAAAGAGTGCAGTCGCATATTCTGTTAAACTAAGATTATTTGAATTAGAGTTCTCCAAATGTTCATGCTACTGACTGTTCTATAGATTTGTAGTCCATTGTTCTGATATCCAAAGATTGGGCTTGCTTGTTCTAAGGTCTGGTATTTTTAAGGTATCTTCTTAAAGTATGTAACTATCTACCATCCCTGTATTATCTAGATAAAAGTTGCTTTTATTTTTCTAGCAAAACCCAGTAAATTGGGAGGCAAAGATGATGGTACTAATTTTAAAGCAGCTTTGCTGTCAGGTCCACCAGGAGTTGGTAAAACGACTACAGCTGCTTTAGTTTGTGAGGTGAGTGCTTGTTCACAAATGTTTTTGGGATGCAAGAGAAGATGGAAGTATTGGATATGGGCTTTGATCTTGCACCTATAATTGGATACATTAAGATGTGCCCCCACTGTGACTCTGCATGGGTGTAGTGGTCCACCCTTGCAGAACTGATTGTAGTGTCAGGGTCTTACGTGATAATATACGTGCTGGGATACTCATGTAATGAATATGATGTAAGTACATAGATGATAGTGATGTGATTGTGCACCCATGTCTATTTATGAAAAGGAATGCAAGTTCCAGTATGTTGAGCAGTTGAGGATGGGATTTTTTGAAGTTCTCACATTGGCTTAACTCTGTTCCTGTTGAATCTAATAGGAGATCTACCAGTTGAAGTTAGTGGGAGCACAGTGAAGCCATCACTGCATGCTTTTGAAAATCCTGTGTGACATTAGGCTTAAGGATATCTTTTTGTATTCCTCCTAAACCTTTTCATTTCCCCCAGTGCCACACTTTCTAAGTGAATTGTTGAAGACAAAAGAAGCTGAGGAGATTTGGGACTGTATGTCGAATTTTTGCCGAAATTTGAAAATTACTCTTAAAATTTTTGTCTTAATAATAACAATCTTTCTCAACTGGTGGGTCCTGACCCCCAGGCACATCATGAAAGATGGTCAGGAGTCGCGAGGTGTTGAGAACTTTATTACAATTGTAAAGCAAAGAAATAATGAAATTTATATAAATTCTTATTACATTTAAAAATTCAATTACATCAACATAATTATGGAAACTTATTGTTAATAAAATACATATATATTTATAAATATTTTAATTGAATATATAAATAATTATACCTATAATTATATACTTACTCCCCCCCCATTTTTTTTTTATAGTATATGTAATGGGGTCAATGTTTGGCTTTCAGTGAGGGGACACAAGCTGAAAAGATCGAGAAAATCTAGCTGAATTGGTCTAGTTTTGTGCTGGGAGATAATGGAGGGTTTCACACTGAATGTTCCTTACTGTAAATCTTTCAGAAATACTAATTGAATATCCAAGACTTCATTCACAAGGGGCCTAAGGGAGATTGGCACCCAAATCCTATTGAAAGCCAGTAGGAGTTGGGCCCAGAACTCTTGGCCCCTTTGAAAATCCCAAACTAAAACTCTGACTTCTGCTTCAGTTGAGACATATACTGTATATTCTGTTAAACTGAGTTCTTGATGTTCCATGTCAGTCCCCTTTTGTGACTGAATCTGTGACCTCCCGGTTTTGTAAAATTAGAAAGACAAACTCACCTCCAA